TAAAATAAAATAATAAAAAAGACGAAAAAAGAACGAAAAGGGGAAGAAAAATTAGGGCAATCGTGATGACGATCGTGTTGAAACGAACTGGGTCGTAAAATATATTTCGATAAGATCCTTCCTCGGTTTCCTGTTTTCATCGCTCGAACGAAAAGAACCTTTCCACCAGCTTAGATATAAACGCGTTTCGAACGGCGAAAGAAAAATAAGAAATTTTGAACCGTAATTCGCTACAAACGATAGTCTGTCGATACTGGCATTGGTACCATACGCGATATTTTCGACAACGCAAGATTCGACTTGAACGATCGTTCTTACATACGCGTATATATATATATATTTTTTTTTCATTATTTTTCTTTTTTTTTTTTTTTTTAATATATAAAAATGAATTTCGAGCCGTTAAATATATAGAATCGGCCGCAACGACGTGTGTCCCGTTACGTCTCGTCGCGAGACGCGCGTCGAAAGTTCAGAGATTAGAATTGAAACTCGATGTCCCCTTTCAACCCTCAACGATGTTTATCCTAAAGTATTATAAAGTACAAATTACGAGCGTGATAATACCACGAGCTTCGAGCATTTCTCTCGACCTTCGCCTTATCACGCGATTTCCCGTTCATCCGTTTTCGTTTCAACGAGAATAACCTTAACGAACTCTCCCTCGTTTATCGTTTACCCTTCTTTTCTCGCAACAATACTCGTCTTCAACTATATCTCTACCACGATTGCGATACACGATTTCGATTTCGAAACGAAAAATTTCTTCGAGAAAAATACTTTTTTTTTTTTTTTCTTTTTTTGTTATCCGACGATTCGCGATTAAATCTCTTACCTCTTGAACTCAGGAACTTTCGTTTCGTCTCGACGACGAACAATTTTCTCGTCGAATACTCCTTTCTTCGTATAGATGATCGAGTGCAAGAGGAATTGGTTCGAGAGGAAGATCGAAAGCTCGAGGAATTGCCTTATTTTGTTCGCGGCCTCGGCCACACCCGTACTGAACGCAGGTCAATTCGCTTCTGTGATGACCAAACGTCGTCTCTTGGCGTTGAACCTGTTGGTAGCGCGCGATTTTTTTCTATGTTTCGACGTATGAATTAATAATCGATCGTTACGATATCAGTATACTCTACGATAACAAATGTTTGATTGAAAACGTTTATAATAATTGAAGCTACACGGAATTTCTTTCTCTCTCTTTCTCTCTTTCTTTCTCTCATTCTCTCTCGCGCAAGCACACTCTCTCTCTCTCTCTCTCTCTCTCTCTCTCTCTCTCTCTCGCTCTTTTCTTCGGCGTGGTACTAAAAATGCTAAATTGCAAAAAAGAGGCGCCGCCGTTTTTTTGTTTCTTTTTTTACTTCCGTCACTTGTCTCCACCTGTGTATCTCTTGTTTTCTCCTCTTTCTTTTTTATCATTTTTTTTTTAATCTTTTTGTTCCTTTTAATCGTTTTGTTAATCAGTGATCGGTACTTCGGGAAGATCGTATTGTGCATCTTTCGCTACTTGCTTCTCATAATCGTTTGCGAAACTATTAAGAAATGCTACATTCTATCGGCTACTTCGCGCTAAAGGTTTCCTCTCCTGCTTTCGTTCGTTTTATAATAATCTACGCGCTTTAACGTTGCTCGCTCCTTCGTGTCAAATCGTCTCGTGAGAAGCCGCTGCATTCACTCTTCCATTGTTCTTTCCGTCTCTCTCTCTCTCTCTCTCTCTCTCTCTCTCTCTCTCTCTCTCTCTTTCGTTTATACACGCTTTTCTTCCCTCTCGCGAATCTCAATTTTACTTTCACGAATCAATCCGAAACCACGTCTGTTTCTTTCCTCGTTGAAGTATCGGTAGTATCGGTAGACGATAAGGCGAACGGGTGACAATTAGACGCGACGCAACGATCGGCGATGATCTTCGCTGTTCTTCCTCTTCTTCCTCTTCTCGCGCGACAAATTCTCGAGAGCCTCGATTACCACGACCGATCGCCACGGATCAACGTGGAATTACCATAATAATATTAGAAGCGTAAGGTTAATTCGATGCTAGAGATGTGAAACGGCGTTTTCTTCGCGAGTGCAGCAAGAAGAGCGAGAACGATAGGTAAGACGTGTGTTAGCAGCGGCTAAAGAGTTTAAGAACAAGGACGACTCGTAGAGAGAACGGGGTGCAAACACACGATGTTTCGTTTTTCTTGGAACGCGAAGCTGCTCGAGAACCGTTCCACGATTCCTCTTTTCCTTCCTCTTTTTTAGTTTCGAGTCGAGAGTATACAAAAGTGTGACAACGTTTGAAGTATGCGCGAAGAGTGAAATTTCTCGTTTAATTTCGTTACCGAATCGGTTGAGTTCCCCTTGAGTTCCTCTTGTTTTCCTCTATTCTTTCTTTCTTTCTTTTTTCTTTGTTCCTCTTCTTCTTTTCTTCTCCGTTTCATCCCAAGTGAATTTCTGGTCTCTCCTCGTTACGATTTGATTCTTTGCGTCAGCTTTTTTGCGAGTATTTCTTCTTTTTTTTTTTTTATGTTTTCCTGTTTTTTCTTCTTTAGTAAAAAGCTAGGCCGCTGTTAGGCGTTCAGGCGGTTCCGGATACATACGTCGCTCTTTCTAATCGTCTCGTCGCGCAGCAATCACGCTGCGATTATTATTCCCATTTCTTCTCCGCTTTTCTTCTTTTTATTTTTTTATTTTTTATTATTTTTTTTTTTTTTCGATATTCCTAACTTAGTCGGTATCACGTTATAACTATTTGTTACAATCTACGCGGTCAAAACGGTACTTTGAAACATTTTTATATAATACAGAATCTGTTAACACGAATTAAAAAGTTTTTCTCTTCTTCTTCGCTTCTATCTCTCTGCCACATTCACCCTCCCTCCCTCCCCCCTTTCACTCTTTCATATCTCATTTCATTCACACACTTATTATTCGCGCTTATTATCCTCTGTACACGTCTCTCTCTTTCTCGCTCCATCTCTCGCTCGCTCTCTCGTACTCCTCTGTTTCTCCGCTCGCGTGTACATGTAACAACGATATATAATAATATAATTATTTAACATCGTCTAACGATATCACCATAGCGTGGCATAGCGTGGCGTCGAAAACTCGAAAGAATTGTTTGTTTAGTGAAAAATAGCTTAGTGAGAATCGCTCTCGAGATCACGAAACTTCCTTCTCTCACGTATACATATATATATATATATCTATCTATATTGTATATGTACGTAATCAAAAAGTCTCTTCGTCCTCTTCGGCTTCTCGTATTCCTAGCTCGAATCTCTCCATTCTCTCGTTCCTCGCGTGATCGTTGCCAGCGTTACTCTTCCACGCTAGAAAGAACGGTGTGCAGTTACTCTCGTCGATCGTTTTGGCGAATACCATCAAATAGAAGGTGCAGAGGCAAGCGTCGCGGGTGTTCGATTCGAGGAACGAAGCCGAGCCGGCTGCACCGCGTTCCCTCCAACAATTTTCCTTTTTTTAATTTCGCTACGCGATTTTAGGAAGGTTCGATCTCTCCTCGTGCCTCTTACGTAGATTATATTTGCTCGATAGTTTTAGTTAGTAATCGAAGTTTAAAAACGGGCACGCCCGGAACCGGAGCCGCGTATCCTCGGCGAAAAACGAACGCTCGTTCGTCGAAACGAGGGCGGTTCTTCTGTTCTCTTGCTTCTTTCGAAATTACCACAGCTCGCTCGGGAAGCTCTTAAAGGCGTTCTTCTATTTTTTATACAATCAGACGAGAAATTTCGTATCCGCGTTGAAAGGATCGATTCGACCGCCATCGTTTCCGTGATTCGCGATCCGAATCGGCGCCGCTTCCGTTCTCGGCGTGCAGGAATGGAGCGCACCTTTGGCAATCGACGAATTCGTTTCCAATCGGTCAAAAAAAACCATGCCACGTTCGATCTGATCGATCGGTGGAGCCGCAGTTCGTTTATTTTCTTTTTTTTTTTTTTTTTTTTTTTCTTGTTTCTTGGACAACGTCAATGTTTCGCGGATAAAAACGGCGTAACAACGGTGTATCGAGGTATCACGCGCGCTACCGATCAAAATCGAAACGTTCGTCGTTTCGTCCCTGAATTATCGATTAATTAATTTAATCTCACGACGTCGTTTCGATCCTTCTCCTTTTTTTTTTTGTTTGTTCGAAAATTGGAAAAAAGCGTCGAAGAAGGAGAATCTTGATTGGCCTCGCACATTTTCCCGACTCGAAAACGAAGCGTCGACCGTCAGAAATCGCATCCGTGCAGATTTTGCGAACACGACACAGTAGATTGGCTATATTCTACGATTATAGGCGAAAAGAGAATGTTGCTTTTTTTAGAGAGAGAAATCAGCGAGCGGTCAGCCCGTCCATTGCCCAACGAGGAATCGTCGATCGTTTACCCCGCCAGCAATGGAATCGTGCCAAACGATCGTAAATCGCGATCGAAAATTATTTATATATATATATATTATTTTACACGATAACAAATTCATTGTTTCCTTCGTGGAACGATTTGGCAGTTCGACTAACGCCACTTGGAAAGTCACGAATCGAAGCATATCTACGAAGAATATCCCTTCCTTCTTGATCAGATGGACGTAGGTGTAAATCTGGTCGCGAATTCGACGATTCTCGACGAGAAACTCGCGTTGGAAAAGGAGATAGTGTTTCGAGATATCGGCGCGTCAAGCTTCGAGCGTACGCGGGAACCTAACGAGTGGCGTCGACGAGCGAATTGTCTGAATAGAGATTCTACATCTAGGATAAATGTCGTAAGAGAAACGAGGTGGTAGTTTTTCGTACGAGTAGAAATACAGGAAGAAGAATAAGAAAAAAGAGAAAGAGTAGTAATAGTAGTAGTAATAGTAGTAATAGTAGTAGTAATAGTAGTAATAGTAGTAGTAATAGTAGTAGTAATAGTAGTAGTAATAGTAGTAATAGTAGTAGTAACAATAGTAATAGTAGAAGAAGAAGAGGGAATAAGAAAAGATTAAAAGGAGGAATAAAGTGGTGCAACTGTCTCTCTCTCTCTCTCTCTCTCTCTCTCTCTCTCTCTCTCTCTCTCTTTCGCTCTCGCTTTCGCTCTCGCTCTCTATGATATATTATATAAAGTCGATATTACTTCGCGCAATCGTTGGCACGATCGAGAGACACGCTCGCTGCGTTTCAGCAACGACTGTTCCATCGAACAGGAGGTCGCTGGAATTCTTAACGAGACGAGTATTTTGTTTCAGGTATTTCAAGGTTTATACAATATGTACACGTATCTCGACTAGAACAAAAACGCTTCGTAACCTGGGGTAACGTGTTAACCGTTTAACCGTTTTGGGAGGTGATTAACGAGATTCTGAGGGAACGAGGGAAGGGGGATGCGGTGCATCAACACTGTTTTCGATAATTATTTCGGGAAGGCTGTTATCGTGTCTTTCTCTTTCCTCTTTTCGATCGATGCGGCGCTCGAGGAAGATTTCTCTCATCGGCCGTGGACCACTCGCCGACGACGATGATAATGACGATGACGAGACCCGTAAATGTGCGTCCATCTACCGTCCTCGTTGGACCTCTACCTTGCTCGGTTGCTCCTCGTTCCTAGACCGGGCAGACCAGGAACTCGTACTCGAACATCAGCGAGACGGCGACGAAGACGAAGTAGAGGAGGAACATGGTGAACCCGAGGCCCTTGTTCATCCGCCACTTGAAACAGGCGATGCTCAAGATGACGAACAGCAGCATGCAGAATAGGATCGCTATGCTGCACACCATCCCCACCGAGTTCACTTCCACGGGCCTTCCGTAGATCAAGCCGTACAGCAGCCACGGTACCGGAAGCCTGGGGGCAGAAATACAACCGAAAATCGAGCCGAATTTCATCACGGTCCAACTCCGTTTATACGAACGAAATTTTCACGCTTCATCGACTTCTTATTGTCCCTGTCTAGAAAATTAAACAAAGGATTAATTCGTTCAACGATAAACGATAAATCGTGGTTGCAAAATTATTTGTAAAAATTCTCTAATAATTGTATACGTTTTGTTCGAAGCTTCTCGTATGAATGGCAATCAAACTCTTGTCGAACGAAAAATCACAATCGATAAAAGAAAAGAATCGGATAGAATCCTATCCTATCCTATGACATTCTTCTTATATGCTTGTCCCCCTCCCCTCTCATTCAAGTTCACATAAACGGAGTTCTATTGTTCCATATCTGTTAATTCCATTTCATTTTATCAAGGAAAAAACGTTCGATTATTTCTCGTCATAAAAAATATCTTGATTCGATTATGATTACGCATTCTCTTCGATTTACCACTTTTATATATTTCGTACATTTCACAGAGAGAACTGTTTACGATCAAGTGGCCCGTGACCTCTTTCCACTTGACGTTGCAGCGAATTGAAACTTTTCGCTCGGAAAAAAAAAAAAAAAGAAGATTTCGAAACATTCCGTGCATACGTCATTCGCGACCAAAGGATTCAACGCGACGTCGACTTTTCTTTATATATCCTGTCGGTTGTCAGTTTATTCGCGACCTCTCCCCCCTTCCATCCCTTATCCAACCACGAGCACACAGAATATTAAAGGAAAAACTGGAACGCGGCAAGAATTCGCGATAAATCTTATTCGATCGACCATTATTTTCACCGCCTCTAATTCGTAATCTTCGAGCCACGATCGCGCCTTTCCCGATATATGTGTGCGCCTTTTCCATCCTGAGAGTGGCAGCTACGCCCGAATACGCGGTGCACAAACGTTCTCCCCCCTTTTCTCTCTTCTCGGGCAACGTGCCAGCTGGCATCTCTGCAACGACCGAATGCGTGCGAGCGAATCGATCTTCGATCGATCGACTCCAACCCCGAACACATCTTGGCCGGGAAATCGTGCGTGCACACGTAGCGTGTACGTGCACATGCGTGCGCGTCAAACAGAGCGCGAACGTGGGTGTGTACGCGTTCAAGAGTCCACGTTTCGGCGAAATCGCGGCGGCGAATTGATCTCGATTCGAGTCGTATAAACTGTCGCGTCTGCCCGCGCGCATACGCGCTCCCCTCCCCCATCAGCGAACACCAGAACCGCTCGAGGGGATTGGAAAAAGGGAGGGGGCGGTGTGTGTGAGACTGGTTATTTGGTTCACGTCAGGGAAAAATTCTGCCACGAAACTCTGTTTGCGTTTATTGTTGGCGTATCCTCTCACCGCATAATCCCTTCTGACGACGTTATTGTCGCCTCAGACCATTATCCCTCGCATCGATTCAAATTTCGGTCGGAAATATGTTAAAGATATTTCTCCCCCCCTCCCCTTGGATCCCCCATCCATCGTCACACTTTCGAGAAAAATATTTTCTACTTTCGAAGGTGAAATTTATCACGGCGCGTCTAACTAATTTAAAACGATTAAATTAATTAAACTCGATTACTCCCCCAACGACTTGGTTCGCACAGCCTCTTCTCCGTAGTATACCAGAGCATTAACTTCTTATTTCTTTTCTCTCTGCTTTTTCGTCGAAGAAAACGTATCGTCGTGATCGAGGGAGAATATTTGCCAGCAAAGAAAGTCTATTCTTTCATCGAGCGAAAAAAAGAAAAAAAAGGGAGGGGATCGGACGCGGTGTTGATCGAACGATGATGAGTCGCGTCTGGCATAGCATCTCTACTATTTCACGCGCCAACGATGTATAATAATAATAGAAAGGATGCGTTGAAAAGGGGTTACGAAGATACGAATGGAGAACGGCGAACGCTATTACAGGGAAATAGCGAGAATACCTCAATAGGTTGGCGCAACGACCAATTCCACCTCTTCCCTTCTCTTGCCTCCGTTTGATCATCGGTGAAATTCCAATTTATACGTTCGAATCCTGTTCGTATAATAACTAGATAACGACCGTTCTATCCCCTTGCGAGTTTTTCAACAATTCATGAATCCACTTCGAATCGGAAGCAAACAAAATACATATATATATATATGTATGTATTTCAATGGAGAAGAATTTTCAAAATCACGGCAGATTGTGAACAGTTTTGAAGAATTCGAGATACTTCGTCGAACTTCATCCCCCAAGTTTCGAAACTTTATAATTTAATCATCTCGAATTTGAATGTCATTTAGCCCAGCCTGGAATAATGGATACTTAAATCCCTTTTGCGATAACGCGGCATAGAAGAAAGATGTATTTTCCAAGTTCGAAGGACGATTCTTTTCTTTTTTCTTTTTTTGTTTCTCAACAATTGCCGATATACAGTTTCCTCCTCCCATTTCGAGAGGATTGTAAACGTATTAAAAATCGCTTACTCGGATCTTCCGTTCAATGATGTTATTCATCTTCCAAGATACCTACGTTTTTTTCTTTATGGAACGGCAATAAATGCAAATTAACCTCGCTTCGTTTATCGCGTACAATATCTTGCTTGTTTGTTGAACGAAGAATGGACGGATATAACGTCTATAGAACAAAAGTTGTCGCGTATATAAAAAGTTTATAGGAATTACGTTAGTTCTATTAAATGGCAAACGTTGGTTTTAATTTTTATCGTCGCTTGCACGATAGTCTCGAGATATTTTTTTTTTTTTTTTTTAAGATCGTCCGTTTTGGCACGGATAATTAGGTCGTTCGAGATTTTTTTTTTTTTTTTTTTTTTTTTAAACAAACATTCAAAGCGAAGAGGGTTTTCTTACTAATAGCAACGATGGAAAGATTCGATTTAACCAAGCTAAAGCCGAAAGCCCCCCATCGGCTATCCATATTATCCAATTAAATTGATTGTGGCCGTGCACACGTTTCCGATATTTCCAATAGGTTGCCGATTGGCGAATCTGTCAGAAGACCATTTTCTTCAACCCCTTTCATCGAGTAATCGTTCCCGACGTCCAGTAATTTCCGTTCATCGAATGGAACCCCCTTTCGGCCGCAGCCCGATCGATCCAAAGTCTTAAGAAAAGTTTCGCGTGTTATCCGCCACACGAAAATGAAAAATCTTCTTAATCGCCGTGCGTCGAGATTTTACCTAGAATTTATACAGGCGACGATTCCTTTCTTTGGTGCGCAAATATGCGCACAATCGATGAAAAACCGTAGTGGATACGATTAGGCAAGCGTTGTCGGTCGTCTCATCGAGCAATAATTCTTTACAAAAATCAGCCTGATTAATTGTAATACGAAATGAAAATTATAGTACGAAACGAAAAACCTCCGTGTCGAGATTTCGTTTGGAAGAATGAAAAATATAATTCGACGATATCGGTTGATCTTCGACCTATAATCTATAATCTCCTGCAGAAAAATCAACGACTTAATTAATTCTTTCGTGATCTTTCAATCACAGCGAACTCTTCGAATCGCGAAAACGAAAATTTCGAAATAATCGTGGACGAGAGATCGAATACGAATCGTCGAGGCGCGCGCGATGAATACGCGAGCTAACGAGAGATTCCACCGGCTCAAAGTGACGTAATCTCATTACCCTCGCCTTAACCACTTTCCGAAGAATAACGCGCCCATCTCTCTTTTTTCTCTCGGCTATGATGTAAATTCCCGTAATCGTAATATGAAATAGACTCGGTCAAGTTTCAACTCGTGGCTTTGTGCGAAAGCGGAAACGTTTCGTGGAGAGAGAATATTTAATATTTTCATTCGTTCGCGTTTAACTTTTATTCGAATCGTTCTCGTCGAATCTTTGATAATTCTCGAAATCGAGGTATCTTCTCGTCGAAAGGAAACAGTCTTTAGAAACGAAAAACGGAAGATTGGATTCTTCCAGAGATTTTCTTCCCTTTCCTATCAACGTCGAATCGAGCGTCCCGTATTAAAATTGCCATAACCTCGATAAAAACTAGGTATAATCTAAATGACCAGCTATGATCTAAACATCTATACCTCCCTCCCCCCCCGACCTACATCCGATTGCGAGGGAAACAGGGTAGTATGGATCGAAGAAGAAAGGCGAGAAAACGTCTTTCGATTCGACTTATCCATCGGGATAGCGACGCTTCTCTTATCGTTATCACAAATCTCCATATGGGCGAGCGATCGCGATAAATAATTCAAGCGGAACATCCCTAAGGTGGAAAAATGCAAGTAGCACAGTTTCCAACGAATTCCATTCGTATTCGTTGCACCGGCCGTGCGAGTTTCATTCCCTGGGAGGAATATGGAAAGAAGGAGGCGGCGCACAAAGGAGAAACGGGACTCGTGGCGAATATTCGACGTCGTACAACGCTCACCCAACGGTCACGTCGAAGATGTTGCTGCCAACCGAGCTCGACACGGCCATGTCGCCGAATCCTTTCCGCGCGACTATCACGCTGGTGATCAGATCTGGGATGCTGGTGCCGGCGGCGAGGAACGTCAGGCCCATCACTTCCGGTGGAATGCGAACCGTGTCGCCGGCGACATTCGCCCACCAGACCATCAGGTACGAGTAAGCCGCGATCCAAAAGATCGAGCCGATGAACGTCACCGCGAAGAACTTCTTTCCTGTAACAAACAGACCGGATAGAGATCCACCACGCTCCCCTCCATCCACTCATTCTCCGGTATCCGGTTGAAAAGAGATTCCGCTCAAATCGAATCCCCTTTCTTTCTTCCCTCCGTACTCCCCCCTTCGTCCGAAACTTTTCCCTACTCCTTGTTTCTTCTCCTTCCGTTTCTCTCTTCTCTTCTTCTTTATCTTTCTCTTCGAACCGCGTTTGCTCGAGCGCCGAGTTTGCAATTTCGTGCACACATTTCGGTGAATAAGCTTTCGCGTGTTTGCGCGTGTGGAAGGAGAGAAGCGGAGCGAATCGGCGATGCTTGCACCACGCCCAAGACTTTTGTACGGCGATAATCGAAATCTAAGCTCGAATTCTCGCAATCGCATTAGTCGGATAACGATCCAACGATTTCTTTATCGGTTAATGTTATCAATTTCGAGGATAAGCTTTTCCATTAGATTCTCCCTATTGTTCGAGAAACAATCTATCAAGATAAAGAAAATAGAGCGGAAAAAACAACTAGATGGATCCAACAAAAAACACTCTCCATCCCGTTACAAAAAGGGATCGTTCGCTTGTGTGCTCGTCGTGCACGCTTTAATTATTATCCCGACATCGAGATCTCTATTAATCATCGAGTTTACATCTAATCAGGATTGGTGACCTGTATACTTGTATTGACAAAATCGAGAACCGTGGATCCTGAAATTCTTTTTTCTTTTCTTTTTGTATTACGAATGATAAACAGATCTTAAACGGGAACGATTCTCGAATTACAATTTCTCTTTTTACTCGAGTTTTCCGTTTTACGGAATAATAACGCACAACGACGAGACACGATTACGAATTACGACGATTTCGCCGATACCGATATTCCGATGGATCGACGTTGAAATGAACGTTCACCGATTTCGAGGTGAATATAAATTGAAATCGAGAGGTCGTTTTCCAATTTTGCGCAACAATGAAAATCTAGCGCTCGCCGCGGAGAAGCTGAATACGACCGCGAGGTAACAATCAGTCGCCGATTCGAAATTAGCGTGTCAATATCATCTTTCGTCGGTGGTATTGTGTCGCGTTGAAATACAGGCTGTTAATAGGCCGTGATAATGCACCACGTCCGTGATTGATGGAGACACGGGAAACGGTTTTGAATAACAGCGCGTGTCGTCTCTCGTCCATCTTAGAACCGTTTAATTGCATCGTTCGATCTTCACGCCATTCAAGATTATTATACGCTACACACGACATTAAGCTATTTAAAGGGAAAATTTCATCAGAGCATCGATATCGAGCATCGATTGAAACAATTTCGAAAGAAAGTAAAAGGAAAAGGAAATATTGTCGTGGATAGATGATTTTATAAAAGTTGCAATTTTCAGCGAATTTTTCTTCTTAATAACGGGAATTTTGATTTTGGAGATTTAAGTTTAAGTTAAGGAAAAGTTATATATTTCGGTATATTTTGAGAAAGAAACGATTAACTTTTTAAAGTTTTCACGAGTTAATAGTATTCCAACTTTTCGGAATAATCGAGAGAAAATTGGACACGAAAATCGACGATAGAAACGCCCGACGAATTTTTTTTCAAAGACAATGGAATATTTCTGCGTGACTCGCGCGATCGAGCGGTCGCGTTAAATAATGCAGCACGCGGATGGAAATATCCGGTTTCGATTATTCGTTGCGCCGTTAACTACGGAAGCAAGTTTCGCCCGCTATTTTTGGAGAGAATTTCATTATTGCGCAAGCACGATCGACGTCCTGGCTAAATACCGGAGGAAGGAAAGGAGAGAACCGGCGAGCAAAGAGGAAAATTGGTCCACCGAATTATCTAATCTCCCTACACACCTACCACCGGTCGGTGATATTCGTGGCTCGTAAGTCGGCTAACCGCTTACTTACAAAGATTACATTCCGTTTTAGCGGCAGAGCTTTGCTAATTCCTCGACACGAGAGGCGTATCACGGATACATTCAGTCCTCTATCGAGAAAGGACATCCGCTGCACATATATATAAGTAAATTAAATGAAATAAATTTAATCGTGAAACGCACTAGGTTTGATCGAGAAGATTCTAGACTTTTTTTCATTTATTATCGCGCAAAGTGATTGCTAGGATTCCGTAGAAATTTAAACGAATTTCTCCGGGCGGAGAATATAAAATTCGTTCGCGGAAAAAGCTCGTGGTTAAACCGTAAAACTCGTACAGATCCTCGAGAGGACTCTGTTTTACGATGAACCGAGAAACCGAGAAGCGAGAGCTACTCCTTTGATATCCCCGCTATGAAACTAAAAACTAAAAATTTACTGGCTTTCAACGGAATAGGGCTGGGACGGAACGCTGGTTTCATTTCGCCTTACCGGCCTTCCTCCACTCGAAACGATACTTTGTTCCTTTCTCGGGGTAATCGAAACAAAGTCTCGGTGACCGGTGGTGGGTTAAAGGATCTCCGAGTAAACGACTCTTCCACGTTATAAAGTCCGAGGGCTTTTTCCCTTGCCTCGTGGCTACCACTCACCTCTGGGTGTCCTCGTGTCTGGTAACGTGAGCCAAAGAGGGAATAGAATTGGCGCGACTAAAATGTAAGTTAACCTCTTCCTGGCACTGCTGGGCCACCCCATGTCCAACGCTTCCGGGGGGTCATCCTCCTCTCCCTGCAACAGCAAACATCAATTTCAAAGGCACGATTCCTTGGATGGAGATCGTTCGCTCTCTATTTATAATTAACAATCCCTTCCCTTAATCCGTCTGGTTGCGCACTACTCGAGAGCTCGAGCGGAATTAAGAGCAAGTTTTCCTACGAACTGCGCTTCAACGACGATTATCGTTGCAATAAGGCTCGTGGTAAAAGAGACAGGCCTCTAAATTTTACGCGGTGGATACCGCGGTAAAGGTACAAAAGCGGAAACCCTTACATATACATATATCCATCCTCGGGTAACCGCGACACAATGGCCTCGTAGATGTTTCGGATTTTCCAGCTGCAATCGTTTCCAACGGAGATAATTGCCGTGGAATGAAGCGACGCCCAGTCTAGTACACCGATAATTTTCATCGAGGCCACGCGACCGAGCACCTAACGCCGTGTCGTTCGTCGGACCAGGGATCGAGACTCTATCGCTATCACAGAAACGCCGGATAATACCGAGTAATCGAGCTTCAAAGAGATTGTACTAATAGCAACGTGATAAATACTAATAGGGGATACGAACCAGAAGTAGAATAAAGCGAGATTAATAAAGATCGAGATACAAAAGAGAAAAGTTGCGGAAAGATAGACGACCTTGAAGATCGACAGGCTAGAGAGAGAAGAGAGAGAGAGAGAGAGAGAGAGAGAGAGAGAGAGAGAGAGAGAGAGAGACTGGGGAGAGATAATCGTGCCAGAAGACGCGGAACTCGGGCGGAAAAGGCATTGCCTGGTGACTTTGCTTCGATTATCCGGGAGTAAAAGAGGGACTGAAATAGGCAATGTGTAGCGCAACGACGCCGGGTGTAGCCAGAATTGACCCAGATTCTCGATGCATTCAAAATGAAAAGGCCTTCTCACTCATTTAGGACAAAGAGGTTCGAGATTCCCCCGCGCGCGCCTGCTCTTTCCGACCACTAGCTAATATCGGAAAAAAGCTTGCGCTGCCAATTTCTCAGTCGCGGAAAATCGGTTCGCGCTTCAATCGTCCGATTACTTTCTCCAATTAACCCATCGCCGCGTGCTTAACTCATCTCCCCAGATCATCTTCCGTTCCTTCGTAGCTTCGAGGTTGAAACGGCGAATGGCCGTGAAAAACTATGGCGTTTCTCTATGCGACGATTTTCGTCACATTTTCACGGAACGTTACCTTCACCGACGCGAATAACACACGAGAACGAGGTGGAGAACGTCTCGACGACGGTGGACGACGGAGTCGACTGGCCACAAAGGATATTAAGCTGAAAGCCGAGATGGCTCGAGACGGCCAACTTTCACGTCGAATCGCTCGAAAATGAAAGTTCTCGCCCGGGAAAAAGCCACTTTTCGCAATTGTCTTGTTTCCCCGGATATCGTTCCGCTATACGAAACGACCCAATTCTCCAACGCCCGGCCATTGTCTGCATCTCCGCTATGAACGTCTTCGTTACGATATACGTGCCAGCCATCCTAGATGGAAGACGCGAGAAGGATCGTTTGTCAGAAGCCGACCGGTCGGAAAATAACGAGTTCCCCGAGTTCGTTTTTCCTATCGGTTGATCGCGTCCATCCGAATTATCAAGCGTCTATCTCTGATCAGATGGGCGGAATTTCAGATAAGAACGATAAGAGGCGATATCGGTAGCTGGGCGTCCGCATTGAGAGACAATCGGCCGCCACACGGTATGGACGACGGACGAGAAATATTCCCTTCGTAACGTGACGTGACGTGACGCAGATAAAAATTTATCGAGCGTAATTTCCTCTTCGAATCGCGTGTAAAATCTAATAAAATTTTTCGCGAATCTCGAAATTGATTTGACGGAGCTTTCTCGACGTGAAAAAAAAAAAAAAAAAAAANAAAAAAAAAAAGAAACAAGAAACAATGGCGCGAGGTTGATAGCTCGAAGGATGGTGCGTTGGAACGTTGGTTGATTCGCGAGACTGGTCGTTTCATTCCGATTCGATCGATGGACGATAATTGGCTCGGCCGTCGAGTCCGGATAGCGACTGCAGTTATTTTAGAAATGGCCCCTGGGAAACCGAGAAATCAGAAAACGAGGAAATTTCGCATCCGCCCGGTCTTCGTGACAGGAAACGAATTCAAATTACGATCCATGTACACGGATCGTTGAGATGAAACGGGAGAGAGAGAAAGAGAGAGAGAGAGAGAGAGAGAGAGAGAGAGAGAGAGAGAGAGAGAGAGAGAAAAGGGGGGAAAAAAGAATTCCAGTCGATTCTTCGCCTTGTCACTGTGTTAAAGTCGCGCGACCTCCGCCGACTTTACCCTCCGGGAAATGGGATCGCGAAGGACACGACCGAATTAACGTTTTCGTCGCGCGGCCATTGTTCCCGTCATTGGACCAACCAGCCTCTCAGCCAGAGACTCTCTTGTCTACATGGAAATTCGCACCAACGACGTTTCGCCACCAGCATTGCGGCCACCGGTTTCTAGTTGGCACAGGCGAGGAATGCGGCCGCTATTGCTTGCCTCTGTTAACTATCTTCCAGCGTAATTCGCAAATTGTCGGATGTGGAACCTCTTCCAATTTCCAATCGAAATCGTAATTTTCAAAATCGAATCTTGCAAAAGAGATTGTCGTCGTGATTTAAAATCTTGCAAAAATTAAGAAACGTTGAGAAATAAGTACGGAGAAGAGAATTGCTTATAATTAGAATACTTTTCCATGATGAAAAAGATTCATATATCTATATATAACGTTTATACGAAGATATTGGAATAAGACACTTTAATCAGACTTAACGTTCGAATAAAAACTGCTTTGCAATGCTTGCTTCTAATAGGAAAAAAATGTCGACGATTCTCGTAATTTCAACACATTATCACGTGAGATTTTAAAATGTGTTTGTGTCTTGAAAAAAAAAAGAGCTTTCGATTCTATCCTTATGTCAAAGAGAGAAAGAGAAAGAGAGAAAGAGAAGAGAGAAAGAGAGAGAGAAGAGAGGAGAGAGAAGAGAGAGAAAGAGAGAGTAAAATATAATACCAATGTTCGGCTATTTCCACCCTGCATATTCGGTGAATTGAACAATTACCGAATCGAGGCCCGCGTCGAGGCCAGCGGCTATACCGCCATTGGGAAGTTCTTGGATGCCGGCGGTGGTGCCGGCCGTGGTCGTTGTCGTAGTGGTGGTCGTGGTGGTGCCCTGTGAGCCTTGCTGTAGCTGTAGGGTGGTCTCTTTCGACGATGCACCTGAGTAATGGGCGGCGGTCGACGTAGCGGCACCGTTATGCGGCCTGGTGGCATCCAACAGCACCTTTAGCGAGGCTATCGCGTGCAGTTGCGTCGCTTTCTCGTCCACTTTGCCTGAACAATACCAGAGATACAGGTTAATGAGGAAAAACACCGAGTCACGCAGCTACCATCTTTCCTTACCTACCTACTCTTTCTACCTACTCTACCTATTAACTTTGATCAACTTTTTGACAAAACCAGCGTGTCATGGGCGTCGATGCCAGTGTTTTCGTCAACCGATAAAATTACCCTCCACAAGTGATATACACTTTTTCTACGCATATAAGTGGGATTGTAATAGAACAAACGGAGTTGTCTCATTTACTCTTGCGTTCGTCCTACCCTAGGGACAAATTGATCGTTTACAAATTGATATTTTTACACCCCTTTCAAGATTCTCCGGAGAATATTCTCGTTTGCACGCGAGAACAATCGTTTTATTCTCGAGTTTTAACCGTGATATTTACGACGGTAGTTCGAAATGATTGACGCCCATGGATCGCTATTTACGATACTACGAAAAGTGCAACTCGCAAGCGAGAAAATTTCTTTCTTTTTTTTTTTTTTTCTCCTCTCCCTCCACGATCCACGTCAAGCCAAATTCCAACGTCCCGAGGATCCTCGGGTATCGGTCTGTGACGAGGACGTTGCAAATTTGTTGCGAATTCCGCAAATGCGCAAGACCAGCGGATATACATACACACGTTCCATTTAAGCGTGCATTTAAAATCTAGCCAAAGCTGGAACTACGAAATAATTATGAGCAAGAGTCAAGGCGTTTTCGTGCGCTTCATTGCTACGTTCTACTTCGCCCGATTACCTCGAACAGGCTTGCGTTATGTAATAGGTACAGTTTCCTGGTCTATTTTGCCAGCCTTAACTGTTAACGATCTGCAAATACGCGCCACAGTCTCTACTCGACCAGTCGTCGAAAACGATTTGAAGACGAGGGCACGCGTTATGCATTCATTCCGGCGGAAACTATTTCTATGGTTTACGCGGATGAAGCCAGCAACCGTGAAATACTATTAACCAATTAACGATATTTGGCGAGCAAAAGTTTTCCTTCGAGCCGTTTGTCGCGCAGATCGTCGAGTAATTGGATTATCGAAGTTGAATGCCATTATAGGCGAGTAGATCGGCAGGTAAATCGTATTTGAAGAAATTATAGCGAGCGGATTACCGTTTCGAACCAATCACATTTTTTTACGCCTCGTGTCGAGAACGCTTTCGTGCCAATCTTCGGTGAAAACATTTTTTAAAATATCACGTTAAAAATTAAAAACGTGTTTCGAAATAAAGAGTTTAATAATGGGATTATGCGAAATGTCGCTCCGCTGAATTATAGATCGGATAAATATTTCGTTCGATTTAATTATATGGAAAATGACTCGTTCAAAGGATAATTTTATCATCGTTTAAATATTCAACAATATCATCTCCAAATTATAATTTTAATTCCTTCTTCGAAAGTATTTTCATTCTTTTGTTCTTCAAATTTTTTCGTATCATTCAACGTAAACAATTATACGGTAATTTTCTTCAGCTTAGAATCCTCCGTATAATTTGTATAATTTCCAAAAATATATTAGACTTACTATTTGTTGCTTAAGAAAAAAAAATCCGAAAGGAATACGGATCCGAAAGGTTATTTCTTATAGCGCTAAATAAAAATAGTAAAAATGTGTTATAATAGTAAAAACTTTCTTTCAAGGTATTACAATAATTAGCGCATACTCTTATTTTCTAATGAAACATTTTCTCAGATTCTATAATTAATATTCATTGAGCATATTAAGTAATTAGTACATAATTCTTTAATAAACACAGTACAACTATTTTATGATGTATAATTATTTTTGAAATAGTGCAACAAAGTTAGAAAAAAAAAAAAAAAAAAAGACCAGATAGAGATAACACAAAAGAGAGCAATCTATTTCAATTTTATTTATACATGCGAGACTTTCGCTCAATACATGTATTCATTTTTTACGATTATTCTGAATCAGAAATAGCCAATCAGACCCATATTCCGTTCTTCTTTCCGTTTGTGCACGATAATTGTCCGTTCCATCTTTTAACGAAGTACGAGAATTATACGAATCGTTGCTATTTCGATTAATGGCATGTCCACTCTACGCGCGAATTAATCTCTCCGCAATGATTTTTCTTTCTTTTACGCGGATGACCTTTAATTAATGGCGGATGAACAAGAACCGAATCTGACACTCGAATCAACCGAGACTTCCGTTTCGTTATCGTTAACCGAGCCAAGAAAAATCACGTATCTATTGAACTGACTCGAAGATATATTTTCTACGAGTTTGAATAGTCCTGTATGCCGTACTATTTTTTTAAACTATCACATGACACGCTGAGATCTCACAAATTCAACATTACTTTTGCTCATTGCTCTGAATTATTTAACGCATTGTGGACGCGAGACATCAATTGACGTCTTTCGTTTTTGAATCATTGATGATGGAAGATCGTAGCAAACGAGATCGATGTGTATCGTGTCTCTTCGTTATGTGCACTACACGCAACAAGAGAATGAAATGAAACTTATAATATATTTATAAATTTTGCATAGCATCTTTCTCTAAGAGAAAATATTTTCAAGCAAAACGTATGTTGAATATTTTAAACAATATATACAAAGCCTATGATAAGACTATCTATTCTTTTAGCAACGTGTCATTCTTAATTAAGAAATTAAAAAAAAAAAAAAAAAAAAGAAAAAAGCCATTGACGTATTCTATTGACAATCTAAACTTATATAATTAAACAATTGGTTCAGATTCATTAATTGTTAAATAACTATAGCATTCTCTCAATTATCTTATAACATCTTGCGTCGAAGTGATAAAAATTTTACGTCTTCGTTTCGAAGAAAAATTCATATCACGCGATATCTTTGATGAAATCTCGCTTCTACTCTACTCGAAGGGGCGGAAGAATTTCAAATCGCGTGCCGTGTATAAATTTACTGTTATCTTTTCACGAGGAAGAGGAGCGAGCCACCGTGTCGTTAAATATTTTCCCATCCACTCGCGAGTAAATTCCCACGCTTCTCGTGGACCTGGAGCACCATCTCGAGCGCAATTCTCGCCTCTTAATTCAACTTTGTAACCGCGATAATCCCGGATCCGTGCATCGTGATTCGACTTCGGATCGGTGTAAAAAAAACTCTGGAAAATTCGCTCGTTACCGGGGAAAAACTTGGTTGTCACGACGCGAGCCGATCCTGCTCTTATTTCGCGCGATACTAGGTCAAAGAAGAAACTAGACGGGTCAGAGAGGAGAAGAATGGCGAGAAGAACACTGAAAGTCGGCGCGATATGAAAGTATCTGTCTAGCCGGAGGCTATCTCATTTGCTATTTATCTCGTTTCTCTTTCTCCTTTATGCGCCTCTAGTTTTCCTCCCCTTTTCCCTCTCTCTCTCTCTCTCTTTCTTTCTCTCTTTATTCTTCTATATATGTAAATAATATATCGTCCGAGTTTCTTTTTTTAAGATACATCATTAGTTGTGCTTATCGATCAATATTTTTTTCCACGAAAAAAGAAATAAAGTTTGTTTAACGCGTTTATCTTTAAATATTTGAATGTTAAATCACGTTCGACTATAATATAAATTCATCCGGATAAATTAGTGTGGAGAATTTTTCTTTTCTTTTTTTTTTAACGAAGAATGATTATTATTCCTCGATTATCAAATGTATTTATCTAAAATATATTCCTATGTACCGAACGAAGATAGTACCGATAGTGTAAAGTTTGAAATAAAGTTTGAATCAATCTAAAATGATGGCAAGAAAAATTATAAAATTTTGATTGATCTCGTTGAACAAAAAAAAAAAAAAAAAAAAAAAAGAAATCATGCGTGAAAAAGAGGGAGACGATAATTTGACGATTAGTTTCAACCAATCGCGTGTGTCCACGGTAGGCATTAGGTCAAAGAGGAAAAAAAAAAAGACCGCTCTGGTGAGTGGCCTTCATCCTCGAAGCTGGAAACGAGGCGAGAAAAGAAAGGCGAAGGGCTTTTGGCGAGAAGTCGGACTGCGATGAAAGAATCGACCCTCGAATTGCCTCGAGCCAGATGGAAAGGTATAAAGTAGGAATGCACGAAGAGTAGGGGTTACGCGATGGAAAAGGAGAGAAACGAAGAGGGTGGAGCTTCGTTTTATCGTGTTTTATTAAACTTTGGTAATTTTGTTTATCTTTCGGGTTTTGCACCTTTTTTGAACTTGTTGTATAATTGTTCGTGTACAAAAAAGAACAAAGATATTGCGATAAAAGAAAAATAGAAGAAGAAAAGAAAGAAAGAAAGAAAAAAAGAAAAAAAGAAAGAAAGAAAGAAAGAAAGAAAGAAAGAAATTCTTTCAATTAAGATCGCCTTATGGACAGATCGTTTAACGGAAGAATTGCGATAAGAGGGAGAAATCAACAACATCGTGTTTGATAAATTACAGAGCGGTAACTTACATTCCGTTTAGCGATACAGATCGAGTTGAAACGACGAAAAGAAAAAGAACAGTTGGGAGTTTCATTAATTTCTTCAAATACTATAATACTATGGATTAAGGGAGAAGGAAAGGGGAATATTCACGTTTCTTGGATTCGAAATGGTAATTTTAAACGGACGAAAATACGGATAAAAAAAAAAAAAAAAAAAGAAAAGAAAAGCAAAGCGCGGCAAATCGAGTAGAATAATCCGGCGCAGGTCGGCCCAAGTGCTACCTATTAACCTACAAAGCTCGATCGGCCTAGGTTTGTTAGCGGACGGTTTGGTTTCGAGAACAATTAAATCGAATTGGCGCGGCTCGTTGCTGCCTTTCGGGGCACAACCCGAAGGAGGACAGACGTAGAGACGTTTGATCGACTACGAGCTGCTCGTTTGGAAAGCAAACAAGTGCTTTCGCTCGTGAAACACACTGAAATGGCCTGTATATGATAAATTAAATGGCAAAAGGACATTGGCGATCGTTAAGAACGAAGATATAGATCGAAAACGACGCGTCCTTCGCGCAACTATAAAACCTTTTTTTTTTCGTTTAATAAAAGAAATATT